GGCTTGAATACAGAATGGGAGGTGGACACCCATGTCACAGACCCACCACATTTCTGCTTGACTGGGCCTTGCTTTCTTGTGGGACTTAGAGGTGGCCAGATTTACGGTTCCTCCGATCATCCAGCTCCCTCCTCACTGGTACTCCCAATCAAAGAACCTCAAAATGTAAACTGATATGGATGGGAATTGGGGGATTAGGGTGGGGGTGGAGGGATGAAAGGGAAAATCACTGTGCTTTGTTCAGCCTGATGTGAAGGATGGTTGGTGTTTTTCCTGCATTGTATCTTTTCTTACTGTTTCTTTAATAAATGGGGTGAGAGGGCTGCTGCTGTCGTTCCATTTTGTTCTCTGTTCAACAGTGGGTACGTTTGCTCTCTGCTTTTTTTTTTTTTTTTTTTTTTAATATGACAACAACCCTGTATTACCTGCCCTCCAACATGCTTGCATTTGAGGGAACAAGCTTTGGTTAGCCTTCACTCAGTCTTGTAGAATAATTTGAGGAGTGTGAGAGATTCTGACTTTTACAAGTCAGTATCTACATGTGCAGTATCTATCTGGTGGCCTAGTGGCTTAATTCTCCAAGTTGAGGCAACCGTGACAACTTACCTTATTTGTGAAATCTTTTAAGTCACCATTTAAAAATGTTGGAGTGGTGTGTGTACACTCACGCTGCTGATAGCATGTGTGGAAGTTGGGCAGTTAGGGGTGGGATGATGGACACTTGTACCATCTGGGTCTCAAGGGTTGATCTCCGGTTGTTAGCCTTGGGAGTAGGTACCTTTTACTCCTGCGCCATCTTGCTGACCTCTTCCTCTACTTTTGAATTCCACTGATTCCATTTCTACCACTAAGCCTTTTAAAACTAAAGAGCTAGATTTATTAAGTACAAGAGGGCATAGTTCTGAGATCCCAGTTTTTCTTTTGGATTTGAACTATACCCCAGAACTCGTGTTGAAGACTTGGTCCCCAGCACAGCTCTCTGATAGAGGTTGGAGGTGGTTCTTGAACATGAGGGAAGAAACAGCTCTGTCGGTAGAGTCGTGGTTTAAGAGGCCAATGGGGAATTGGGTTAGATTTTGGGAGGCAAAGTACAGCTGAGGAAAGTTAGTCACTGTGGACATGGCCTTGAGAGTAGGTTCTGTGCCTGGCTTCCTCTGCGCCCTCTGCTCCCCTGCAGCTCCCAGATGAGCTGCTTTGCTTGAACACAGGCTCTGTGCTGCTCTCTGCCTCACCGTGTGCCCAGAAATGGGATCCACTGACAGGAGACCAAGAATGTGAGCCATGGTCGACTTTCTCTCCTTAAAGTTTACTTTGGTTCTTTGTCATAGCAATGGACACGCCAGAGTTATGTAAGAATTTTTATTTTGATAAGTGCAATAAAAAATTTTTGACCTGAAAACAAAAAAGCCAGTCTCCAAGGGCAATGAAAGCAACAGTGCCAGAAGCAGCTGCTCATGGTTGCCAGCAACAGGATAGCAGCTGCCTTGTCGCCCAACATTGTCTGCGTCTTGTGTCATCAAGCTTGGTGGCAGCCCAGCAAGGCCAGCGTAATTCTATGGAGTCATCAAGCTGCCACAGCAGCAGTAGGAATACAAAAAACAGCACCAATATGGCACCTACAGTGGACAACAGGGGGAGCTGTGGGGTGACAGAAACTCAGGTCTAATGGCACTGCACAGTATTATGGGCAGCCACAAAATATGACCACTGGGGCCATTTGGCTCAGGAGATGCTTATGGAGACAGTCAGTTCCAGCCAAATTGAGGTTGAAACTCTTGAAAGTCATGGATAAGAAAGAGGGGCTTGGGGCTGGCAAGATGGCTCAGTGGTTTAGAGCACTGACTGCTCTTTTGGAGGTCCTGAGTTCAAATCCCAGCAACCATATGGTGACTCACAACCATCCGAAATGAGATCTGATACCCTCATATGAGCGAGCGGGGACCCAGAGTGAACAGGTACTCGGAACAAGAGGGAGAAGGGAAGGGGGGGGGAAGAAGACACAGAAACCTTAAAAAGGAGGAGAAGAAGAAGAAGGAAGAGGAAGAAGGGGAAGAGGAGGGGGAGGAGGAGGAGGAGGAAAAGAAAAGGCAAGAGGGGCTTATAATATCCAATGTCAGCCTCCGTGACCTCTCAGGAAGAGCCACAAGGAAGGTACTCCTGAGCCAGAAGGGGGAGGATGACCCCTGCCCTGGGAACACCACAGCTGGGATGGTGAGAAGCTACAGAAGGTCTTGGCAGAGAAGAGGACTAGCTGTTGGAGGAGATAGACATGCCAAGTTAGGCATCAGCACACTGATGTGTGGTGCCTGAGACCCGCAGGGCCATTATTCCAAGGAGAGACTGATCTTTCCCTTTAAGGACAAAAGGAGTATTGCAAGAAGAGGAGAGTGTGCTGCTGGTGAATGTGAACCTGGTGCCTAAGAGGTTGGCCAAGAAGGAAACTGCCCTAACAGCTGCCTTATGCAGGTGTCCTTGGCACAACAAAAGCTTTGCTGTTTGCTAGCTAAATAAGATAGGGAGCTGGAGAGGAACTGGCTAGACACTTTCCATATGAACTAGGGTGACTACCAATGGCCTTATAAATGAGAATTGGCAGGGTCATCCTGCAACCACAAGTTGAGCAGGGCCTCAGCTCACCTCTAAGTATCTCACACTCGAGGTGGTGGTGCTAGAAGATGACATACAGCCTCCTGAGCATTAGATTCAAGAAAGGGGCTTTGCTTTCCTACTGCTGGGCAAGGTCAGCACTAACTCCCAGAGTAGAGAGATGGTCCTGAAAAAAGAGCAGCCGATATCTTCAGCTTGCATCCCCACTAGATGATGCTGGAGTGAAGACCATGGACATCAGCAAGGAGAATGACAGTAGGGGAGCTTTGCTATCAGAGTCCCAGAGGTGCAGAAGGACAAGACAGAACTGAAGCTGCAAATGCTGGGGCTGGGGTGACTGAGGGGACTTTGGTTGTGGGACCTGCACTGACCACATCTTGTAAGAATGGTGAGAAAGATGGCAGAGATTGTGAAGCAGAAGGATCATTCTGAGAAGGGTCCAGGTGTTCTACACTTGATGAGGAGTTCCTATGACCTGTCTGGCAACCTGGAGGAACAGGAGCACCTCCTGGACTTTGAAGGGCATAGGCAAGGTGAAGGTAGCGCAGTGGATATAAAGGCTTATCTGAAGAAGATGAGCTCTAGCTGCAAACCTCTGTACACTGTGACTTGAGGCCTGTACATTGTGCTCAGTGGCTGTGCCAAGAGCATGGTATGAATATTATCCCACGTAAAGCCTCCTCCCTTCTGGTTCCCTCCCACCCTTAATGGTAAATAAAGGTCCCTCCTTATTTAATAAAAAAAGCAGGTAAAAATAAATATTTACAAATTATTGTAGAAATAATACAAAAGAGGCTGAAATTGTCAATGAGGAAAAACCAAAGTGAGTCTAATTGTATAAAGGCTCTTCCCTTGCAAGAAACAGGGATACAGCTGTAGACCCAGTTTAGTTTTACTGCTGAAAACTTATAAAATAAATTAGGAAATCCAGTCGAGGTCAAATGTTGTAAGCTCACTACTGTACCTGCATCTTTAATCTGAGGAGAGTTGACCACAGTGCAAGGCAGAAGAGCTGATGGTAGACGACCAGTTTTCATCCAGAGTCCATTGTCCTGTAACCTTCAAGTAAAAGCTGAAGAAAGACAAGCCCTTAGTCTGAGCCTTGAAGTTAGTTGACTGGATCGTCTCCATTGTAGTGCTCAAATAGTTTACTTCTTAATAGAAGGACTCAGAACAACTGCCTTTGACAAATGGCTGCTGCTTCCCAACCACTGTGAGTTGGGCTTCACATCAGCCAGCACTTGTACTAGAAACTTGAGGTTTGTGTGCTGTGGCAACTGTTAGCTACACCTGGAAAAACCCTTTTGTTCATAAGAGGAAGGGAAATACAAGAGATTGTCCATCCGTGGTTTGGAGTGCACTTCATTCCTTTGTAGGAAGCACCTGTGTATACCGCTCTCCAATGCTGTTGGTTCTCAGGGGTTAGCTGGCCCCTCTGAGAACAAATGTTTGGAAAAAATTACAAGCAACCCTTAAAGTCATAGGCTTAGTCATGATCCCAGGTTTCAAATCCAAAGAAGAGTCTCGTCTTGACTTCAGAACGGTATAAAAGCTTCTCGTCATTCCTCAAAGAAACAGGAAAATCAAGCAGCTATGAGGGGTGCAAGAGGACTGAAAACTGTTGGACCAGTTCCAGCTCCTAGTTTGGTTTCTGGACTGAAGCAGCAAATGGAGGAGCATTCACTACCTAGCAGTAGAGTTCCCTGGAGCAGCCAGTGAGGACGGATGCTCTTAATGATCACCAACCTGGATTTGAGGGTTTATTTGGGCAACTCCAGAAAGCTTTCCACTGGGGATGATTGTCGAGGAAGTCACACATGCTAACCAGCTGCCAAGGTACTAAGACGACGAACAGTGTGGTCAGAGGCTCTTGTTATTTCCATGCATGTAGGGAACAGCCTTGTAAGTCTTTTAAGAGTCTATTCTCTACCGTGTGAAGGAATTTACCCATGAAAATGAAGAGGTAACTGCTGCTCTCCCACACTAGAAAACAACTAAGAATGACGTGGCTTTGAAGAAAATGAAATAGCGAGCAGGATGTCTAGCCTCAGATGCGAGCTGAATCTGAGAGGCATTCAGGTATGAATGAGCCAACATAACTAAAGACTTGTTATCTGAATCCATTGGAGTTGTCTTCCTGGTAGATGGCTAAAACATTTGATCTGCCCAGCAAGTTCTCTTGACAATTTTGGGAATGTTATAAAATAACAAGCAGTTTTCAGTTGGAACACATTCAGTCCAAGGCATCCACGGTTTTTAGCACCATGACAATCTTTGATCCTCCCATCAAACTATTTTGTATGAGACAGTCAGGATCTCATGTAGTCTAGCCTAACCTTGAACCTCTGGTCTCCTAACTGCTTGATTACGAACGTGCACCACAACTGGCCAAACTTTCATCAAAGCAAACCCCCCCACCCCCCAGCAAACTCAGTACTTACCCCTGGTGACTTGGCTCATCCCTGGGATGTTTTGATGTGGAGTGGAATATAGTAATTACATAAAGCACCATTACTTAGACCCTGTTTTTTGACCAAAGGTCAGGCTTCCCAGCCTTGTTCTCTCAGGCACAATCTTAATGCATTGATGGCTAATTCGAGGTTAGGGAAATGGGGCACTAGCTGGCCAGACTTGACAGGAACTTCTCATATACCTCATGTTCAGATGGGCTAGGAGGACACTTTCTATGAGCTGTCATTGCTTGCTTATGTACCAGAAGTTGACACAGGATGGAATTTAGCACTTAGTTTAGCACACCTCTGGGTTCTCTATAGTTTCCAGGAGGAAGTAAAATCTTTTCTCAGAGTTCACTACCTATGCAAGGGCAAGCAGTCAGGCAGCCTAGAAACATACAAGTCCATCTGCCCTGAGCCTAAAGAATCAGTGCCATGCTTCTGCTGAGCAGAGCTACCCAGGCCACACCACAGTCACTATTCTTTGCATTTCAGATTAGTCCTTTCAGCCATGAAACTAGAACACAACAACCCTCCTCCCTCCCACCCCATCTCCTCCATTCCCCTTCCCTCCCTTACCCATTGCACGTTTCCCACTTTACTTGGAGGTTATATCACACCTCAGCAAAAGCCAGGCTATACTGTTCTGGCTTCTTTCCACACCTCCGGGCAATAATGGCCAGATATAGCATGAGGAGGGCCACCCAGTAGCAGCCATACAGGATGGCCCCAGAGACTAGGAAGGCTAGCTCAGTCTCACTGAACAGGTCCTGACAATAAGCTGTATAGGCTAACCCCCCTAGAAGAACTGCCACCCAGATAGACACAGGGATTAGGCCAATGAAGTTCACTACAATGGTTTTCCTGCCAGAAGTACCCCAGCCAGACTTGTTGATGGTAGCAATAGCAAAGATCTTGGCTGGCAGGAGGCTGGACATATAGAGAAGGGAGTAGAGGGACATGAAGATCATCTCTGCATTGCCTCGAAGGAAGCAGGCATAGGTAGCCTTGATAATGCCCACCAACTGCACTGTTAGCAGGAAGAGGAGAATGTTCCAGATGCGGCCACGGTAGAAAAGTTGTATGACTGTGGCAATGAGGAAGAATGGGAAAAAGCCTGTGACCACTGACTCATAGGTCATCCAGAGGTGGTGCTTATGGAACCACAGAGAATTGTACAGCCATTCCCGGAAGTAAGACTTGCTCCAGCGGGTCTGCTGATTAAGCCATCGGAGGTACTTCGTGGGGGTCTCTGTGAGGCACTTAGACCGTGCTGTATACTTAGTCCGGTAGCCAAGACTCAGGACTCGGTTGGTAAGGTGCCGATCGTCCCCAAAGCTGCACTTGCTGCCTAGGAACTTCTGATGGTACCAGTCCTCCAGGAACTGCTGAAGGAGGCTGTTGCGGTACATGCCCAAAGGCCCACTAATACATTGCACACAGCCAAAGTAGGACTGGCAGGCCCGCTCCACGTTGAAGGCCATCCAGTACCTCACACTGCTCAGGAAGGAGATCCATGAGTCATATTTGTTGAGGATCTGTAAGGGAACAGAGATGCTGTGTTCATCTGAGGCCTTTCTAGCCTGAGTTATATAGGCTGCTGCTCAAATTCCTGGTCATTAGTTCTAGACCCGGGAATCTAAAGCTTAGGGTGGCCATTTAAAACCCTCTTCTCTGGGAGACAGAGGCAGGCGGATTTCTGAGTTCGAGGCCAGCCTGGTCTACAGAGTGAGTTCCAGGACAGCCCAGGCTATAAAGAGAAACCCTGTCTCGAAAAACAAAAACAAAACAAAAAAAACAACCAAACAAACAAAACCTTCTCCAGCACCAGCTCCTCCTTCACATCAGCACCTGCACTGAGTCCCAGTTAAGACATTCCAGTAATCAGAGCCTTGTCTTAGGAGAGTCTGTAGGAGGACATGACATATTGCCTGCACTGTTCTCTGACAAAGACCTGTCTCTGTGTGCTTAGTATACTGCCTATAGCTCATTAGCCTGAGTTCCCTAGAGCATGGGCTTTCAGAGGAGCTAACTTGGGAGCTACTTGCTACACTGTCATCTCAAAAGGAAGTACTTTGTGTGACCTATAGTGGCCTCCTGTATCCCTCCAAATCCATGGGTTTTCAAAAAAAATTTTTTTTTAATTTATGTGTGGTATTGCCTGCATCTATGTCTGTGTGCCCCTGGCACCAATGCCAGCGGAGGCCAGACGAGGGCGTCCGATGCCCGAGAATTGCAGTTAAGGCAGGTTGTGCACTATCATGTGCATGCTGGGGATTGAACCTGGGCCATCTGTAAAAGCAGCGGTGATCTTAACAGCTGAGCCATCTTTCCAGCTCCCTCTTCAAATTTTCTAACTCTCCCCTCCTCTTACATTCATGAAGAGCAAGAACTGAATTGGACAGTCAGTGAAGTGAGCCTCTTGAAGACCAGAGGAACTATTAGGGAAAGTGCTTCCCAGGTACTAGTAAGTCAAGAGATTGATTTCCCAGGCATATCCCACTGGGTTTAGAAACAGAAAAGGTTGGCCTCAACCCCCAGGAACCCTTGGTTATTTCTTACTTGGACATCTCCTCCAACACCTCCTACTTGGGGATCTTCTTCCAAGACTCGAAGCATCTCAATGGTGCAGGCTGGGTCCAGCACAGTGTCAGAGTCACACACCTGCAGGGGAATGCACTGTTAGCATCTCAGGCCTGTACAAGTACTGTCCTGCTTCAGGAAGCTGTGCACTGCCTGAGGAGCCAGACCCCTCTCACATTCACTTCCAGCTAACTGCTCAATTCCAGGTAGAAAGGGAGGGGAAAACAAGGGAAGTAAGGAAAAGGACTGACTGCTCAGGGACCACAAGGCTAAGGAGAGAGCCCCAGCAGATGATGTTGGCCTACTGCAGAAATGATCCAATAAATAGTTTGTTACAGTGTTCTCATTGCAACCCCTGGCCTCCTGGTGAACCAACAGCCCTGTGATAGGAACGAGTCTACCTGCCCAAAAGTCCCTCCATGAGATAAAACATTCTGTGCTTGGAATCTTAGACAAGTCTCTCAAGCCAACAGCTCAGCTTGTCTGACCTACTCTGAATAAGCACAGAAACTGGCAGCCTTTGCCAGCAAGCGTACCTTGCAGCAGACCTTACCTACAAGTACAGCTCCTCCTCTCGTGGTCTAAAGTATTATTAGTTGCATCTGAGCTCTGGGAACAGCTATGATAGTAGCTGACTTCCTATCCTTCCCCTTCTTTCCCCCCTCCTTCTCTCTTCGTCTCTCTTCCTCTTCTTCTTCCCTTCCCTCCCTCCCTTCCTCCCTCCTCCCCCCCCCCTTTCTGTCTGCCCAGGGCCTCTCTGCGTAGTCCTGGCTAGCTGCACTGGGATCCTATGTAGACCAGGGTGACCTTGACTCACAGATTTGACTACCTCTCCCTCCTGAGTGCTGGAATTAAAAGTGTGAGCCACCATGACCAGCCTTTTCTGTCTGCCTTTTAAAGTTATTAATATGGCCCTGGTATGACATTTGATAGGAAATTGGTTTACTAATAAGCCCATGGCTGGGCTCTACCGTCACTGTTCTCAGAGCAGATGAACCTAACTCAATCCTGTGCCGTCAAACCTTTTACCAAAGCTTGCTGTCATAAGGCCCTCAACTGAATTCCCAAAACCTAAAATAAATGGGTCTTGGGTAAGCACCCATTAGCCTACAAGAAGGTTGCTTCCAACACCCCAGTCTGGTTCTCTTCGTGTTCAAAGACAGAGTGGTACAAAGAAGTAGCAGAGGGCTAAGTGGGAACTGTCATGGCCATCAGCACCAACTCTGCTTCCTCTGTCCTCCCCACCAGGCCTCCTTACATCCTACTGGAGCTGGGGAAGGTCCCAGGGAGCCTCCAACCAGACTCACAGAGCCTCCTCAGTTTAAAGGCCAACTGAGTTCCAGGACAGCCAGGGATGCACACAGAAACCCTGTCTGGAAGAACCAAAACACAGTAACCCCCACCCCCACTCCATACAAACAAAGTGCCCCCCTAAATTAAGACTGAACATGAAGACAGTCAGTGCACAGTGGCATTTATGAACAATTGGCAGAATCCTTTGGTCAGGGTAGAAGGCACAAGAGGCTGTGAGGGGTTCAGGACCGGAATCTGGGCAACTGAGTTGTCTGTTTCTAGTTGGTACTGAAATGTGTACTTTTAAATTTTTTTTTGTTCTTCCTAGTTTCTTGAAAAAAAAATTTTTTTTTTGAGACATGGTTTCTCTGTGTAGCTCTGGCTGTCCTGGAACTCACTCTGTAGACCAGGCTGCCCTCAAACTCAGAAATCCGCCTGCCTCTGCCTCCCAAGTGCTGGGATTAAAGGCGTGCGCCACCACCACCCGGCAGTTTCTTGAAATTTTAAGCTATGTAAATCTTGCCACTCTAATGGAATTTCCAGGCTGGTGCCAATGACCACTTGATCAGGATCTGGGCAAGGTCTGATCAGCTGTGCCAACACTGGCAAAAAGAAGTTGGACATTCATGTACCCAATTCTCCCCAGCAGCCATGTCAGACATGAAGTTAATGCTACGACGAATGGGGACTTTGTGGTCCTAACTCAAAAAAAGTGGAGTGATTTTTAGCAGGATCCTTTTACTTATTATACTTAAAATTTTTAAAGATTTTTTAAAAGGCTGTGTATGGGTGTTTTCTCTACATGGAAGTCTGCATCACATGCGTGCATTGTGTGCAAAGGCCACAAAGAGGGTGTCAGATAACCTGGACCTGACGTTACAGAGGTTGTTAGCTGCCATGTGGGGTCTAGAATTGGAATGTGGGTCGGGTCCACTAGAAGAGCTCTTTACTGCCTAGCCATCTCTCTAGTCCCTCCTCAGACTGTTTATGGTGTTTAGTTACCTTGTTGCCAATAGTGAGATACAAAAACTAAAAGCAGGCCTTGGATAAGCAGCCTGTCTGGCATTCTGGTCTGCACCATTACTAGCTGTTTGACATTAGGCAAGTTATTCTCTAAACTTGTTTTACCTTATTTATGTGAGCCTAGAGCAGTGCTCACCTGCAGAGCTGTAAGGGTTAAAATGATGTTTGAAGCACACACCAGCAGTGTCTGGTATAGAGTCAGTGTTGTGTATCTTTTGCTGTTGTTATGGGGAACCTGTTCAGAGGTCTGCCCAGTTATCAACAGAACCCCAGCCCAGATTTGGTCAATCCCAGGGTTTCTTTAGAACTATTATGCCTTGTAAGAGATAGCTACAACACCAAGACCTATATCAGGTTTAAAGTTGCTGGAGGACAGTATACCCAGTGCACACACTCTTAGGGAGGCAGCCTTACCTGGATGTAGTCCACTGAGTTGCCAAGGGCCTTGAAGGCTGTGTACATGACCTCACGCTTGCCCCCCCACTTCTGCATGATGCATGAGAAGGTGCTGGCCCACACCACAGCTCGCACACGCTCCATGCCTTCCTGCAGGCTGGCCTCTGTCTCTCCTTCACCCGCCTCATGGAAATTGCTACGCCACACAAAGAAGCCAGCTTGCTCAGTGCCACCCAGCACCTCATGAAAGATGTCCAGCATGTAGGCATCTTCCTGGCGATTGCCATCCACTACCATGACCACCTTGAGGTTTGGAAAGGCGATGCGCTGAGCTGAGCGAAGGCACTTGCGCAAGTACTCAGGGTCCTCTTGGTAGGCAGCAATGCAGAGTGCCACTGAGCGCGGCCTCTGAGAGCAGTGCAGCTTCAGGGGGCGCCCTGCCCTGTGCATTCGACGGTGCTCCAGGAAGGCAAACAGGCTCTGGATAAGCAGGTGTAGACCCAGGATGGCACCGTAGAGGCCAAAGGACAAGTAGTGCTTTTCTGTGTGGATAAACTGGTAGCCTGTCACATAGGCTGCCAGGATGCCCCCCAGCACTGCCAGGGCAAACAGACTGGTGCCCACCACACGCAGGGCTGTAGTCAGCTGCACCGGCATCTAAGAACAAGGTAAAGAGATAATGGGTCAGGCAGGGACAGCATTTCTCATCAAAGGAGCTGGAGCAGTCTCAGAAATAGGCCCAGGACAAGAGAAATGACCCATTATTAAAAACCATTATTACTTACTGAACTTGACTAAGACCACTGGAAACTCAGAGCCTAAATTGCTGGGGTTCAAGTCCCAGTGGTGACACTTCTATCTGACCCCACTCCCTTTCAGCCATTTGACCTGTAGAATGTGTTCTACAACTAACCTCACAGCATGTTTAGGAGCAAGCAGGTGACATGTAAGGGACGTAGATTAGTGTTGGTCACAGACAACCTAAAAGCCAGGATAGTCCCCTGGGATATGGTAGACTGTGATCTGCCTGACCCAAAGCTCTTAATACTTAAGCTTCAGGGGGTTCACTGAGCATAGAGGAGACAGGTCTACAGGCAGTGTGGGAGAAGAGGAGTCAGGGGGCAGCCCAAGGCCTACAGCGACCACCTCCAGTGGGTAAGTGTACTCTGGGAGGGGATCGTTCCCAGCACAACAAAAGGCCAATGGAGAATACAGGGGCAGGGGACATAAAAGGGGGTGTGAGGCAGACAGACATAAATCATTCCCCTGGTCCACCCCTTAACTCCGTAAGAAACTGCCCAGGGTTGACTTTCTCTGTCTTCTTTACCTGAGAGGCCAGAGAAAAGGCCAAGAGATGCTAGAGGGGAGTTGGGGTGTGGACAGCCCTGCTTCAAGCCCTGCACTGAGCCATAGGGGACTGCTGCAAGCACTGCAGAGATGGCTGCTGAGGAGCTCCACCCACTTGGTCCTAGAGCCCTGGTAGGCTCTCCTGCATGTTTCCTGCCCAACTACTCAAACAATGTAGGTTCCCATTTGTAACTAAGTTGGGGTTCCAGGCCCCCACCCTGTTGGGAACAGCTGTGCAGTAATGAGAGGAGCCCAGGACTTGGCATCGGAGACCAAGGTTTGGACAAGCTCCACTGCCTCCTGGCTACCTGACCTTGCCCAAAGACAGTGTCCCTGTCCGTAAGAGGGATGCTAATGGTTCCTTGCTTCTTACATCTCAGGTAATTTTCCTGAGAATGGTTGCACATTAGCCCTCAAGGGCTTGCCAGGTGGAAGAATTTATGAAGCAGAGGGGGAAGGAGAGGCTGCCCTCCATTCCTGTCTCTTTGCTACCTGTCCCGATTGGAGAATCCTTGTCTCAGACAATGACCTCTCACTTTGAAAGCTGCGTCAATCCGGGTCTCCCTGAAACCCGGCCCCATCCCAATAGGACCAGACATTGTTGCCAGGGACATCCCTCACATAGGATGGGTGAGGGACAGTCACTGCTTATATCCGCAAACGCATTCTTCCAGCCATGTAGATTGGAAAGAGCTCTTGGCAGCTTGGCATCTCTGGGAAGCCTGGCCTTTGGGCGCTCTGCCCCACCAGCCCTGCGAGTCACCGCATGCTTCCTCTGTAGGACTCCCAGCCCTCCCTGCACACACCCTGCTCAGGGAACCCCAGGCGTATGTCCCCTACCCGGTCTCCCTCTAGAGCTGATGCATAGGGGACACTGCCCTCCTTGTTCTAGGAAGGGACAGGAGGTGCTGTGGCTAGCCCAGAAACCTGCGCCCTGGCGCCCCGCCTCGGTGCAGTTCCGGAGGCTGTCCGGTCAGGTCTAAGGCAGCTAAAGAAGCTCTCGCCACGCTCCTCACCCGGCTTGAGCTTCACCCGGCTAGCTAAGGCCCCCACGTGCCACACCCACGTGCCGGTTTCCCACGACTCAGCTGGGAAGGAACAGAAAAGCCAAGAAACAACTGCCAGATCAGACCCTACTCATCTTCCCAGAGCCTCAGGTACCTTGGCGAAAGAGTGCCTGCAAACAAAGGCTGCATCCCTGCAGTTGCCAGGCCCCTCCATCCGGGGGCCGGACCCCCTCCCCCTCAGGAATTAAGAGGCACTACCTTTATACCCACCTCCCTACAGAAGACCCAAGAAGGTTCTACAGCCGGATATTCTACGTGCAGTCAGGCTCTGGCACAGGCATTTGTTGAGGTCCTCTGCCCAGAGAGGGAACTGTATTTCCCCAAGCCGGTTAACCAGAGTGTGATCTTATATCCTGGGCGCTTCCTCCATCCTCTCAAAAGAGATCCAAGAAAGCTCGGCCCAGGCTAGCTACGGTGCACTCGGATTCAAGGGCACAAGGGTGGGGGTGCTTTACAGGATCGATGTCCCGTCGACAACGAAAAGAAATAAAAACCTCCAGGCAAGGACGCACACCTTCCTGCCCAGCAGTGAAACTTTGAGGGGCTGCAAGGTTCGCAGCAACTCTCCCGCTGACAGGTGCGCCCTGCAGCCGACCCACGCACGGCAGTACAAAAACTTGCACTGGCGGCTGGAGCTCCTCCAATCTCTCCTAGGCACCCTTGGACCTCTCTGAACCTGCAAGGAGGAGGAACTCATCTAACAGACATGTGCTGCAGGGACCAGATCGCTGGAGATCTTGGTGTCCCCGCAGGTGCGAAGCCCCTGCGGGCGTGAGTTGGGGGGGGTACTCTAACCTTGCTCCCCGCGCAGCCTTCCCCCTCTAATTCATTCACAAAACAAGAGCCGCAAGGGAGGAAGGGAGAAGGAGAGGCTGCGGGAGCCCAGGATGTTGGAAGAAAGGGAGGAGGGATCGATAGAGAACGTGGTGCAAGGGACTGCCGCCGGGAAGCATTGAGCGGCCGCAGCCCTGGCTACCCAGAGCTCTAGGGTCCCCAGGTCGCGGTAAGAGGCGCCCACCCCTTGGATGCGCTCACCGTGCCGCCCGCTGCCCGCGCTCCGGTGCTCAGCAGGCCTGCGGCGGCTCCATGCCCCTCCTCCGGCTCCCGCCGCCGCGCGCTGCTTCCACGGTGCCGCTGGGCGCTCAGACTGAGGACCGCCTTGCCCAGCCGAGCCGCCTTAAGTATCACAAGCGACCCGCCGGGAAAGGCGCCCTCCTCCGGCACCAGGGCAGGGAAAGTTGGCAAGAGTGGGAGGGCTCCCCAAGCCCGCGGGAGCTCCCGGTTCCTGGCCACCGGCTGGCGTTCTCCAGATCCGGAGTCTGTCGTGGACGTAGTCCCTCCGTCTCGAGAGTCGCAGCCTCTGCGCCCTCTAGGAAACTGGGGACCCCCAGTGCAGCCCAAGGCTCAGCTGCTCCGCGCCGACCAAGGCGCCAGCAGCCTTGGAAAAGCGGTCATTGTCCCCAGCCTAGAACCTGAAGCATCGTTAACTTTCCGGATGACCCGTGGGGACCTCCAAAATCGTTCTTGTCCATCCCCGCCCCCACGCCCCGCTCCCGAAACCTGGAAACCTACTCACCCTGCAAGCGGGCTACCCCAGAAAATCTTGGTCGCCAAAAGGCGGCTCGCTATGTGAGGGGACTCCCTAAAAACCTTCCCGGTGGCAAGAGACAAGGGCAGAAAAGAAAAATTGTCAAATAGAAGGAGGCTAGTCAAAGACGGTGTTAACTATTGTGACAAGCTGAGCTTTGAATTCCGCAGCGGGGCGCTGATGACATTAAGGCTGTTTGCAAAAGCTGCAGATTGGTCTAGCAAGAATCCAGGAGGCTCCAGTCTTAAAGCCCAAACAGTTCTTCCTCCCCACCTTCACACCTTGATTTCTCACGTCCCGACCTCTTACGTCCCCATCCGACATCCTCGCTGGCAGTTCCCTGGTCCCTGGAAGCTGGTGTAGACCCCGGTGCGGTGAAGTGGAGAGGGGTACAGGGGAGAAGAGTGTTAGTTAGAGATAGAAACTCTAGAACTTGAGGTTTTTACATCTTAGAAAAACTTGAAGAGAAATTATAATTAAAGACTAGTTTTAAAAATGAATTGATATGTCCTCCAAGCATCAGAGATAACTTCGCCAGCCGAAACAATTTAATAGGCATGTGAGCTGCTAAAGTCTGTAAACTATTCCTCTCAGACATGCCCTCAGTCACTTAGCCACAGATTTCACTCCACAGCCACCTTTGTACACCTGCTCCACCCACTCCCACCCTGACAGACAAAATCAAAACCTTTTACCCTGCCTCAGGCGAAACATCACTGCGTGGGTTACAGGGCTAGGCGGTGAGTTTGTTTTCCTATTTGAGATGGAGTCTCTAGCCCAGGATTGGCCTTTGAACTTCTTACCCTCTTTCCTTTAACTCAGAAGAGACAGAAGAGGGCTACCACAACCAGTTTATTCACCAACGGGGATTGAATCCTGGGCTCTGTGCATGCTTTGTAAGCACTGAGTTCTATCCCCAGCTCTGGAGAGTGTGCTCTTAAAGGCTGCTGAGACTGCTCAGTGAGTGATGACACTTTGGACCAAACCTGAGTTCCAATCTCTGGGACTCACATGTTGGAAGGAGAAAGTCAACTAGCACAAGTCCTCCTCTGACTTCTACACAAATGATAAACACATCCACAATAAATAGATAATATATAGAAATAAAGGCCAAGACTGACCCCATGTTGGCATGTGTGCTGAGCTACCAATGGTCTGAGGGGCCCTGCTAAGCCAGCATTAGATACTCAGAGTAGTGTCTTGGTAAAGAGGATTTGCTCAGGAGTCTGTCAGCTTGTTCTGCTATGGGCTGTGACAGTAAACCTCAATGTCTCCATGTTAGAAATGAGGTTATGCATCTCTGCATCAAGATATGCAGAGTCCTTGAGAGAGTACAAGGCAAGCCACAGTCAACCTCCAGCTAGACTGTTCAGTTACAGGCAATTTCTAATTGGTGTTTGGCTAAAAACAGTATCTTGTCTTGATGTCATTACAGATCCTAGGAGCCCAGGGCCACCCATGCCATGCCCAGAGGCACTCGAGTCTGGAGAAGTCAGAGTTGTAGAGATTCTTTTGATCTTTCCTCCTCCCTCCCAGAGTTGCAATATGCAACATTTTAGATCAAGGAACACAAGCCGGGAGCTGGCCCCATAGAGAAGAGATGTCCCACACAGAGGCTCACCGCCATGGTGGAAGGGCCCAGCTTAGCTGCTTGG